ACTATGTCACGACTCCAGAAATGTACCGACCGGCGAATGTCTCATAACGTGATATATCACGAGATGAGACATATATATGCCCCGGATACATGTACATGTATCAACACTTTACAAGGCATTCATTTTGCATTCCTGTTTAATCTCCATACATGCACATGCACCCGTTTCCGTCCGTTCCACTGTTTCCCATTGCTATCTATATCTTTGCAGGCAATGAAAACCTAAACATTGACACCACCCCCACCAGCCCAGCATCCATTAAGTTGCCAGCAGTCATCACAGTCGGAGCAGTTGACTCAACGGATGTCAGGGCAAGCTTCTCCAATTATGGTGCCAACACTGTCCATTTGTTCGCCCCGGGTGTAAGCATCTATTCCACTTACATTACCAGCGTCTACGCATCTTTAAGCGGCACATCGATGGCGACACCACACGTAGCTGGTATGTATGTGTTCGTACGCGTGCAATAAGAATGCCATCCTTTGTGTGCAATTGTGTGTGCAATTGTGTGTAATGTAGATGTTACAGAGTGGGAGGCTTCTGGGCCGCTTTATCACATTGTCAGTTCTACGATTTATCACCTTATAGCACCATCCACCACTACCACACTGTACTTCGCCATACGAACTGTAAGTCCAAGGCGGCGGATCCAGCCTTCAGGGACCCCTCCTCATCCATTCACCCGAACATCCGAAGAGATGGAGGGTTCGGCAATCGCCACCAATCCAGTGTGCGAATCTGGTCCATCAACTGTGACCTCAACTCCACATCTCAGCAGCTAGCCATAATCTCGCGCTCCCGACTAACTCGGGGGTCTCCCCGGGAAAATTGTGTGTGCAATCATGTGTACACTGTATGTATACATCTCTCAATAATACATGTATACAGACAGGCTCAACTGACACTATTGTCTATGATCAATATAATATTGCCATCACAGAGTATACTCTGTGCATGCATGCATGAGATCTCATCATCTCATCATCTAGATGCAAACTAGTATGCATTCCTATCAGTACTGTTAAGAAATGAAGCACCATCATGATCAGAGTGTGGTACTTGGCCGCTGAAAAGGCCTCTCGAGATGCTGGCGGAGCGCTTAGCGTGTATTTGTAGTTGTTATGAGTGCTGTACTGTGTACCAGCTACCACACAGATCCGGTGCGCGGGGGTTGCAAAAGCAGCAGTCATGAACACCTGCTGAAACACACATACAGCTTAGTAGGCAGGAATTATACATACTAGAAAGCTAGCTACCAACAGGGTGACGAAGCGCTGGTGTGTTGCAACAGCCTGCTGGCTTGTAGGGCCTTTCCCGCGGGAAACCAACTCTCCATGCGTATCTACTTTCATTGCTTCTTGCCTCAAATTAACCTTGATTGCCGCATATTTTTGTCTATAGCATATTAATATCTCGCTAGCTAGCAAGAAGGCAGCGTCCAGGATGCATATGGGCATTTTTTAACATTCTCATCCGCTGCAGCCATCATGATCACATATGTGATGCATCTCATGTAGCCACACACTGTCCATTAGCTAGGCAACAATAGTTTGCATGTAACACCAGGCAAAGAGTACTCAGGGAGATGCCAGGGGACCTGATCCCTCTTACATTGCAAAACATAATCATGGATGCTATGATGCTCATGCCGTACGGCGGTATACGGCGGTAAAGCTACGTAGCTATAGCGAGCGAAGACAAGGGCACATGTTAGCACACATAAGGCCGAAAAAGGGCCCCAGCAGGAAAGGTGAACTGCCCTCAGTGAGGATCTCTGTTGTGTTTTGCCAACCTCGCATATTAAGGTGAAACGTATGCCTAGTAAGCAAAGTACTTTTATTACTCCATCACTAACGTACCCGGGCAGGTCAGCAGGCGAGGACCGGTGCTTTGCATGCTGTGCACTAGATAGACGGGCATTTAGATCACCGGCAAGCATCACATCCTTCCCCGGCTGCTGGAGCTCAGAAATATCTTGTGGGACTCTCGCGAGAGCAGCTTCTGCTGCTGCTGCACGCTGTGCACTAGTTGCACCTCCGGCTGGGTACCAGGTGCAAGGTAACAGGCCCCCACCAGGAGGCTGTTTCCGGACCGATCCTGTTCCGGCTGTTTCCCTTTCCTGGCCATTTTCCTGGCCTTTCCATGGAGGGCCGTTCCATGGCCATGGACCGTCCATGGACGGTTAGACAAATATTTCCAATATTTTAAAATTTATTCTTGTACATAATGTGTGCAGCGATGTACAAAAGCTTCATGGATTTCTGGTCAGTGATCGCGATGGATTGTGTAGCTACACCTCTATAAAGCTTTATAAGGCCTTTGCTAATTAAGATGCAATAGATGGGACGTTGCGTCCGTCTGTAAAATTTTTGGTCGTCTTTATGTCGCACCCTAGGCCTGGCATAATATGTAGCATGGAACGTTTCCTATCTAATAACATACGAGGGCATGATCTATAGACGATCATTCGATTTTACAGACGCCGTCTGTTGTAAAACCTACCATACAGTACGTACGGCACACACCGTCAAATGCATATGCACGCAAGAGTAGTGCGCTCCCGGTGCATCTCGAGAGGCCTTTTCGGCGGCCAGCTACTAGCTGCATATGCCACGTACGTCATCACCGGCAAGGTCATGATGAAGAGTCGTCTCGCTCTGCTGGCCACCTGCCTCCTGCCTTATGTCCGGGCCCTGTCGTCCTAAAAACACTGCTACACGTACACCGTCCACCTGCTTGTCTGCCTTCATTCCTCATCCCCCATGCATCCCCACCACAGGAGCTGCGGCGCTGTTGTGGGCGTACAAGCCAACAGCAACCGCCGCTGAGATTAAGGATGCTTTGATGCGGGGCACTGACAGAGTCTCTGGTGCTTCGGCAAGCTTGTCCGGCGTGAGTACAAGAAACTCGCATGATTTGGGAGTTGGGCATAAATGACGCGCTAAATTTAGCACGTCATTTATTGAAAGTAAACATACACAACGATGTGAGCTGTAGATGGTGCATCTGGTCAACCAGATCTGGTTAATCAGACGCACCTGTAAACGTTTACAGGTGAACAGTAGTCTATATAACAGCAGACAATAGCCTTCTGGAGGAATTTGGTTTGAAAACCGGTACCACCCTCTACGTTGGATCTTTGGAAAGGCTCAAGACAACTCTCAGAGCTCACAAGTCATAATAGCTAGCTAGTCGGTCCATACATGTACACGCACAGCCATCGTGAAGTGAATGACAGGTATTGCCATAGTGTACTTGGTACCAATTTCCTGAAAGTGCCACATCTGCTTTCCAAGGATAGCAGTCACCCAGCCCGAGGTCATTCCCGTGGGGGCCCCATTCACTCGTTCACGTGGGGGCCACAATCACTCGTTCACGTGTTGGCCACATTCTTATCCTCGCACCTTGTTGACTGATTGCAGGGCCGCCTTAACCTGTTCAGGAGCTTGCAGCTCCTCAACAATAGTGGTAAGTAGCGGGTTGAGAGGTGTTTGACAATCAACCCGCTTGCATGTAATCCCGAAGGCTTCCTCATCCCGGGGTACCCCACGTGTGGCACTGAGGCCAATCTCCACTTTGATGTCTTCCTGGTGATTGAATGGTGCAAGACCGCCCGCCACCTGCACTCATGAAGAGCACTGGTGGCGGGTGGTCTTGCACCAAGCATAATGATTTATGATGAATCATTGATGCGCTGCTGTGTACACACGCATGCATAGTTAGTGGATAGGCCCAACCATTAGCAGTACTAATAATGTTTCACTGTGTTGTCACTGAAACCGGTGCAGATGAGACAGAGAACCTATCTCTTAAGTGATGGTGACTAACTTGCCCGCAGTACTACTTGGTTTAGTAAACCAAGTGAATGAAATGTAATAACCTGGTTAACCGCCGCCCCGCCTGCAGTGCTGTTACCACCTCCCCCACCAAGACCCTCGCCATCGCCGCCACCAAGAGGTCTGTCCGTGCTTGCAAGGGTCATGCAACCGCAAATAAATGGGACCTGGCTGCGACTCACTCATAACCCTATGCATAGTCCGCAGGCTGTGCACATTATTAAGATACGTCGTGTGCATACAACATATGTATGTCCGTTTAATTGGAAAATGTTTGTGTACTTAGCCTAAGATGACATACTTCAGCAAACCTGGCAGTCTGTATGCTCTTTTACAAATCTAGATCTGTAGCAATGAGGCTCATTGCTGCCTGTGTGTTAGTGAATTCAACCATGTTATAAGTAATTACTTACATCCCAACACGGTTACTAACATCCCAATCGTTTCTGTAAAGTAGTTTAACTAACTGACGACCTGCCGCTGTGTATACAAATCTAATTTTGAAATGACCCCCCCTGTGTGTTTACTCCCCCTGCAGCGATCCCTTCCCCACCTCCATCTCCACCTCCCAGACCCCCTCCATCACCACCGCCACCGCCGCCAGGTCCGTCTGGGTGTGTGATGAATATTCTTTACACTTGTCATTCGAATGGCCCTTGGACTCCTTCCTGGCTAGTATGGGCCTGATAGACCTTTGGAGTGTAATGCAATACAAGGTGTATCACACATACACACACACGTGATTTCTCTCACACATCTACACCCCCATGGGCCCCATGCATACCTGCCTCACCTATCCCAGGTCCATTTGCCTGCCCCAAAACACGCATGTGGCCTCGTCTGTCCATGCACAGGACTGCCTGCCTGCACATATATCTTGCGCTGCTCCATGCAAACCTGCATCCGCTGCTCACCATGCTGCTCACAATAAATAATCTCAGCTCTTATCTGCACATGCGAGCATTCCTTATTTCGCTACAGTCCAACGTAGGGGTTAACCCTCTCACACCAAGGCTCTCTCTATCTAGCTGAGCTACCCTATGGCAGTGACGGAAAGTTTTTCGTGCTTACCATAGTAATTCTGAAAGACGGTAATGTACAAAGCAAGGCCAAAAATTGAATGTCGGATGCCATTGGGGTTTCGAATTCATTTCAGGTGGCCTATCATTCAACCTTCGCCTGGTCAATGGCACTCGTGCTGGAGAAGGCCGAGTGGAGATTTTCTTCAACGGAACTTGGGGGACTGTATGGTGGGTTGGCAACATGCAGCCGCTGCATGCATGCCGTACTTCCTGCGGCAGGAAGTACATGTTTGACTTCCCAAAACGTGCACTACAGCTATGAGTCAAGTAACTATAGGGCAGC